CTCTTCTCCCCACTGCTCTCCTCTCCATCGTTGCCTTCTCCATTGCTCTTCTCCCCATCTCTCTCCTCCCCATCTCTCTCCTTCCCACCACTTTCCTCTCCATTGCCCTCATCTCCATCGCTTTCCTCTCTGTCATTGTCTTCTCCATTGCTCTCCACCCCATCCCTCTCCTCCCCACCGCTCTCTTCTCCTCTGCCCTCCTCTCCACCGCTCTCCTCCCCACTGCTCTCCTTCCCATTGCTCTTCTCCAGCACAAGGCAGCTTCATGGCTATGGCTGGGGTGGGGACGTTCGGCTGCAGAGATGGACTTCTCTTGCTGAGAAGCCTCTGGAAGACAGACGGACGGATGGACACACATCTCAGCACCATGGCTTCTGCTGTGAATGAGGACAGACACCAGACTCCAACTCAGCTTGTGGGGGGGACACCCTAAAATTTGCCAGGAACCTCCAATCTGGGCAGACATTTGCCTCCCACCGTGCAAGGGCTTCGAGGCAGAAGGAGAAGCCTGGCAGCAGTGAAGCCACCGCATGGCTGGGCACCGTGTCCCTCTGCCAGGAGCACGGCTGAGCTTGGCAGCTCAACCCACCCAGACCTTCATCTTCCCCCCTGGGGGGGAGAAGGCAACTGCTGTCTCCATTTCAGTGCACAGAGACAAAGCCGTGCCCGGCGGGGTGGGTAAATCGGTGTCGCTTGGCTGCCTTGGGCTGGCTTCAGCAGGGTGACCCTTGGGACAGGGACATCGGGGTACAGGGAGAGCTTTGGCTCTGGGGGTCTGGTGCATTGTGCCCCTTCCTCCTCCAGTTTGGAGAAAGCGGAGATGATGTCCCCACACACCATCAGCGTGACCTCGCTGGGGAAAGGGCTGCCCAAGCAGGTGGTGGTGAGGAATCTCTGCTGAATCAGCTCATGCTGCTGCACCACATTGAACTCGATGGTCCTCAGCTCCTTGACCACAGAATCACAGAATCATCGAATAGTTTGGGTTGGAAGGGACCTTAAAGCTCATCTGGTTCCAACCCCCTGCCA